TCTAAGGCTATAACTAACTATTCTAGGCTGGTTCATAACTATTTAGAAAAGATGGAATATATATATATGAATATATATATATAACAAGAGTGTGCACACACATTTGCTGAATATATAACAAGAGTGCACACACATTTGCTGAATATATAACAAGAGTGCACACACATTTGCTGAATATATAACAAGAGTGCACACACATTTGCTGAATATATAACAAGAGTGCACACACATTTGTCTTTCCCTGGCAAAGTCCTACATCAAAATAAATGATCTCATTTGCGCTTTGTTCTAGAATGAAGAACTGGTATTAAGCACAGAAACCAAAGACAAACGCTTAGAGGATGGTTACTTCAGGATAGGTATGTCACAGTAGAAAGAAATGTGTATTGTTACTATTGCAACAGTTCAGACATTTTCATCAAAACCAAAACAAACCTAAAACTGAGTTTTGATCATTCATTTTTGGGTACGTGATCTTGTAGGCTTTACTTAATATTGTTTCCAATACTTCTTCTCCGAGACTGATGTACTAAAGAAAGATCTAGTGTGACTCTTAGTTGTAGTGCAGCTACATCCAACTTCTCTGCCAGGATCTATCGCCGAGATTATTGTAGAGGCATTTCCAGGTTGTGTAAGATCACCTCTTCTGTCTCATGACTGCATGAGTGCCTCTGCGGGAGCTGTGGCGCTTGGCCTGGATTTGAATCCACCCTACAGACAGTCAGCTGCCTCGTCATGGGCTGAGCTTGGCATTTCCATAGCCAAGCGGCTGTTGGGGAAGGTGCCAGGATACCTGCTGTCAAGGAAGAGAAATTTTACTCGTGGATTGCATTTAGCTTGCTGGACATAGGTCGGGCATCCCTGTTAAAACAAAAGCAAGTTTTTATCATCTTAATGAATTGCAGCTGCTGTGTATATCTTTTAAGTGTAAAGTCTAACGGGGCTTTTAAATTGGATTCTTACTCATTCTAATATATTTGAAGGTCCTTTAAATAGGAATACATTAAGCGGGAATGATATCCCTTGTCCTTAATCCTCCTTGAAGACACATAAGCCGGGGGCTCCATGTTTAGTTCCATGGTATTAAATGAAAATCTGTGCCAAAATCTTCCCAGAGTTTGAGGTGCTCATACCCTTAGACAGTTTCAAAGTTTTTGTTCTTGCGTGTAATCCTGTGTGCTCTGACGATACGCCCCATCTTGTTTGCTGCTGCAAAGCTGAATCGGATATGAAAAATCACTGGCTGTCTCTTGTTTTGGGAATGACCCCAATCAACCTTACAGCCACCAGCAACAGGTTTCACCTGTGAATTGTGATACCACAGATACGTTTTTCTGGCCACAGATTTTGTACTTTACTTCTTTGAACAGGAGCTAATTGAGGATATACTTTTGCTTCTTTTGCAGGGAAATTTGAAAACGGTGTAGCTGAAGGAACAGTTGACCCCAGCCTAAACCCTATTTCATCGTTCCGGCTTTCAGTGATACAAAATTCAGCAGTTTGGGCAATTCTGAATGAGGTGAGAGGTGGTATAGCCTTTTAAAAATAAAACCGGCAAATGTGAGATTTCTTCACTCTGTCAGTGTGTTGAAGCTCAAAATTTTGGCTAACACTGAAAATGGTTCCCTCTTTTACTGAGAAATGTAATACCCTAAACCGTGACTATTTTTTTTTTCTGATTCTCTATTTCAGATTCATATTAAAAAGATTACAAACTGATCATGGAAACCTGCTTTAGAGGAAAAAGAAAGAATCCTTGAAAACTTTTCCTATAAAATCTGACATCCTTAGCAAGTCACGAATTGAAAATACTGAGCATGCACCTTATTCCAAATTTCTTTCATTTTCACTTGAACTCTACCTCTTGTGAAATCTACTGTAGATGAGAAGATTGTATTTACCCCTTCTTATCTGATCCATCCAGAAACTGATGCTCCACACTGATGACGTTCGTCTGAGGCCTAAGTTGTCCTCCACTTTAATGTGACTTTACCATCTTATGGTTACAGAACCCTGCTACGCTTAACCTGTACTATTTTGATAGTATAGTAATATAGAGAAGTTGTACATATTGTTACATTCCTTGAAGAAGAAGAAAAATATAATTATTGTTAAATATGTTTTATGAAGGGGGTACTTTCGGAGTTCCATTTATTTTCTATAACGAGAACCCTCTTTTATAGACTGTCAGGGATATATATTAAAAATGTTAGGGATATTTAATTTATTAAAATAATTTGAAAAGTACATATTTTTATGCAGTAAAATTTTAAATTGATATAGGTTTTTTTATAAATTCTCTAGTTTCAATTATCTTTCTACATGTTTCTTTGGAGATGCAAACATAAATTAATACCATATTTCAAATATACTGCCATGTTTAAAAAAACCTAGATTAAGTTTCTAAATTATGTAGTTTTGTACACAGAATCTGAATGATGTTCAGAGGCATTAACAGAGTTCTGAAGAGCATTATTCTTTGGGGCTATGAAATTCCACTATGTACAGTTTGTAGCCACATACAAAGCATGCTGAAATGTCTTGTTTCATATTATGTACTAAATCTGCAGTGATTTTAGACTGAACCCATTGCATTTTAGAAGAATTTTTTCGATTCCAAACAGTTCTTTCTAAAAACCTTTGTAGACATTTCCTAGCCTGGACAAATTAATTTTCTGTACTGAAAAAAATCATTCTCCAGCTTTGCTTTGGAGTGACAGAGGTTACCTTTTATCGAAAGAATTAATAGTAATTAGATACTTTTGATCTACAGAGGTCTCCTTTTAAAAAGTTCCGTTATTGCAGCGTTTATTTTAGATACGTTACAGTGAGTAGTTATGGTTTATTTTTATTTTCTTCCATTGCTCAAGAACAAGGTTTCAGTTTGACTCCTTTACTGATCAGTGTAGTAACTCACACTAACTTTTAATGGGAACTGAATTTGGCCTCAAGTTAGTACCCTGCCTTTGCGTTTCAAGGGAAACAACAGTGATCTTAAATGAATCGGAAACTCGATCAGGAACAGAAAGTGGTTTGGATTAAATCCAGAGCGGGATTGTTGCAGTACTAACACTGCCGCTGCTCTTAAGAGTCCTTCTGCTTAGGTGCTTATGTGTAAGGACACAGGCATGGGGAGATTTAAGACCCAGTCAGAAATGGTCAGGAAGAGGGGCGGTGGAAATTCCTCTCTTTAATAGGAACGAAGTGCCTGATTGACACTGGAGGGAGGCATCTGCCCTGGCTTGGGGATTCTCAGCTGTGCTGCGAACCGACCTCCTGGAACTGACCTCTCGAAAGCTGGCCCAGTTTTCCCTGTGGAAAAAAAAGACTCCGTTATCCCCAACATCTTTGCGGTCAGGGCAGAGATGCGCAAAACCTGTTGTGGGATCCCTGATCTAGAGCAGGGATCTGGAATTCATATCTCCAGCATGAAAGTTCTACTAATAGATTTGGCCTCTTTTTCGTGACATATATTTATAAGGAGCAGGAGCCTAAACCCGACTCTCTGGCACTGCAAGCTGAAAGCCATCGCCACTGGGGTATAGAGTCAACCTGTCCTTTCTTCTGCCTTGTTGGAAAATTGTGTCGTAGCTTTGACAGTTCAGCAATATTCAACTTTAAGAGCTTAACTACTTCTACAGACCATAGTCGTTTTGTTCTAGCTGTGTTGTCTGAGGACACAGGGAAGACAAGATTTGTACACAGAGATAAGACCTTCTGTTTAGACTGACTGGTGTAAGTTGGAGAAAAGTAGAAAGCTACCAGGCAGGCTGTGTTTACTTTTTTCTGATTGCATCAGATGGTGTAAATAAAATGTTACTTGGAAAGCTCGTCTGGCCCATAGGGACTGTGGGCATAAGCTAAGCACCGGCCTCGTAAATGGAGTTTATTCTTGGATTTAGGGACGTGGGTGCATGAGCTCAGAATCCTGTGTGAATCTAGCCTATTGTGGTGCCACAGCCCAGTTCGTTATGTGTATAATGCCATGCCACCAAATTAGTGCCATGCAATGGCTTTTTATCGCACGTTAGCTAGGAAAGGTCTAAGAAAGTATTTAGGTTTTCTTCTCAGCTGTGCCTGTGAATGAATGATGCAAGTAATTTAAACTATAGCTATTTGTTACAATGTAGATTGCAGAAATATGTTAGGTATTGCAGTTTCTTAATATAAGTAGTTTTGCTGACAGTGACTTTCATCTTTTTCCACGAGTTCAAAAGTTTACTGGTACCACTTACGAAGAACGCCGTGTGCTTATTCTCAAAGCATCACTGTTCCTGATGTTTCACAGTGGTTAAGATGAATCATTGCTAATATATCTAAATATATAGAACCCTTACCAGATTGATTGCAGGACTCTGGTGTTACCAGTATATTTAGTTTTCAAAAATGTTGAGAAGAAATTTATCAAAGACAACAAATTAACTAGTGCTTGGTAAAATATGGGGGGGGGAGGGGTGGTGTCCTAAAGATTGTTGCCTTTTTATTACATTGTACTAGCAGGAGTTGGAAATACTCTGGGCTGCTTTAACACTTTAAATGATCTGGAGCTTATATGCTCTCTAAATAAATGTGCCACATTGATACAAATCATGTTTTGTAGATTCAGGTAAATTCAGACCTGGTGTAGTCAGACAGTACTGCAAATTTGCTTGGAGATTTTGCTGAGAAATAGAAAAAGCAGCGAAAATATTTCCTGTCTGATTATCTCTGCAGACAGCTATTTTGGGCTTTCTACCTTTCAAATTCCAATCCCCAAGTCAGGCTAAAGTGGTGCAAGCCTCCTTCCTGGAATTACAGTGAAGCAGTAATTACAGTGCTTCGGCTGTTTGGCTCAACAGTCATGAGCTCGGCCACTGTTTATGACTGGGTATATATACTCAGGGCTGGTGTCTTTTACACGTCTCAGCTGTAAGTTGCAGTACTACCACAAGAGTTCCTTGTGGCATCTTAAACCTGTTACCTGATTTTTGGCATTTTTTTCGACATTTGTTTAATTTCAAGTTATTTTTGTTGTGGCCTTAAAAATCCCCTCTAGGCCACTGAATCTTACAGTAATCAAATAATGGAAAATGTTTCAAAATATACTGCATTATCTTATGATCCTGTTAGCTCCTTCTGATGCTGTTAAAGCTTCAGAAAGGAGAACTTTTGTAACACCAAAGGCATTGCCAGAAACCTTCATTATCTGGGCAAATTATTCTTAACTTCTTATACTGGATGCCAAACAGACTGGCTGATACGAGCACTGGCTTTTCTGAGCTGATCAGGATGGCTCTGGAGCAAGGAAATACAAGACTGTCGGGATAATCTTGCTTTGCTCATTCAGTGGGTGGGGTGGTCCTACTGAAAACTTTGTAAACAATGTGAACAGGACGTGATCCCAAATTAGCACTTTTTATTCTTTTAGTTAAAGAGTGTTTCTAAAGCACTGTATAAGGCTTTGCGCTTTTGCAGGCATCTCAACCATTTATGTGCATTGATTGAAAATATTCATATAGATACATTTGTTTTTTCTTAACTGAAAGATGGCTTAGAAAAATTCAAACAGCTAAACGTGATTTGTGGACCAATAAAAGACTGGACTCTTCTGTCGTATGGCTGCTTGCCTAGCTCTTTTACAAGCAGCTTTTAAATACCGTGAGTCAGTTTAGAGCAAAGCAATTTATACTTTGCCCATGTGATGCACAATTCCTTGAATGGGCTGGAGTGCGATTAGTCTTTGGCAAAATTGAACAACTGTGTAACGCTTTTCCTTCATTTTTTTCCAAGTATATTATCATATCAGTAATCTCGGGGGTTTTTTTGAAGTATTTGCTCCAGATGAAGTATTGTAGTAATTTGTAGTTTGCTTCTACCTTGGAAAATATTATTTTAGTCTTGGGGGGGGAAGAATCAAATCTCTTCAAACCTTGTTCCCCTGAAATAAATTAACCCTGGGTTCTGTGCTTGTTCTTACTAGGAAGGATGTATTCTGAAAAAGCTCAAGCAAGTAACTGTAGTAGAAAGGGAAAAAAACCCTTTGTTTTCAAATCATCTTTACAATCAATCACCAGCATAATGCTGAAAGGCTACTAAACAACTGGTGTTTTCAGACTAGCATTGATTGCCGACATAAAAAACGCACCCCACGCTGACCTGATAAATTAGTCTTTGAGAGTGTCACTTTTCTGACCTTAGTGGTCTTTTAAGGGTTTTGCTGATTTCTGCTATAAAGAACGAGCAGCTAGAACTTAAAGTAGCTTCATTTTGAGAACGATGAAGCCTTCTTTCAAGGGAACAGACTTTGATCTTTCTAAAGGGAAGGTACACAGGCCCCCAGTCCTTCATTGATTTCAGTGGTATCACACCATAGGGCACTAAATATGAGGTATTTTTACTGTTGAACCGAAGCCGGTGATCACCGGTGCTAGGATTCCTGTTGGGGAGAAGTTGTACGGTTAGGCTGCAGCTGCCTGCAGGACGGGAGCTCGTGCTGTTAGCCAGGGCGGGAGCAGGTCCTGACCAGAATCCTTCGCCTTCCATGGATCAGCAGTTCAGTGCTTTCCTTGTTAAAAGGGGAACGTTGCTCAGTGTCTGCTGAGAGGGGAACAAGAATCTCTTCAAGCCTTAACAGTGGCTGAAACACACAGTACTGTAAGATGCACTGCCAGCATATTTGGTATTTTAAGACAAATAGTTTTTCCTTAGAGATCAAATTCTAGTATTGAAATATTAAGTCTTACTGTAACCAGCTTACTCTTGTGTTGCTTTGGAAACTGAATCCCAGTGCTCATGTTTCATACTGAACACTCTGCTTTGGAAAATTGTCATCTTTTTCCAGAAGGTATTGTTTGTGATGGTTAGTTTATACTCCTGCCTTGTGGACTTCACAGCTGTAGGGATTGCCATGAGCCCACCCGTGTAGCCAAACTAAACTTGTACTTGCCTTCCATGTTCATCAACCTGCCACTCATAATGGATGTAATAATACCCACTGGACTTCTAGTGATTGGGTTTAAAAACTTGCTGCTATATCTGAAAACCTGATATGGGTCATGTTAATTGTGCCTTTCATCACTGTTTCTTCTGTGTGCCAGAGCTGTCCATGTATATTTGAAGTAGTCATTAAAATAAATCTGTTCGAGTTCTTTCATGAAAGGAGGGGACAGTTCTGTATCTAGAGACAGTTGTTGCTTTACCATTGCAACACGATTAAGATCCCTACTTTCACACAGTCCCAAGGCAAGGTGTTCCAATATTATTCTTCAATAAAACTGCTTTTCGGTGTCACTTGAAACCCTCGTAATATAGAGCTTATGCCAGTACATGCAAAATATCTGCGGTAAGAGTTATGCTAAATAGACTTGTTGCAGTTAAATTTAAGCTAGAGATGTACAAGTAACTTGTCTTTAGGAATGTACTGCAAAAGTATTTGAACAAAATTGCTAACATGTTTACTGGTGTAAATATTTTAATAAAAAAAAGGACACTTCAAACTTTTTTTACAATTATCTACAATAAAGAGAAATTTACAACCATTTACAAAAATGTTCTTAACTTTTTCTTTACTGTCAAGACATCTAAGAGAAAAACAAAATAAACATCAGATACATGAAGTCCTGGTTTTATTTCACTCTGTATTTATAAAAGGAACAAAGCATCTTGGTGAAATTCCATCCACATGCTAATGAGATCAAATAGAGCATGATGAGAAGTGCAAACGGATACAAAAGGATAGCTGTGTTCTTCAAAAAGGGCAGTGCTGAAACAGAAGCAACAATGAAGCAAGTATAAAGTAGTGCTCTTTCAAAAAAGGTGCTTCATGTAGAACGGCCTTGGGGAAGGACAGCAAGGGGGAAAAAAAAAAAAGCAAAAGAGTACTGCTCTGCCAGCCGCCTTAGAAGGGCAGGTTTGTCATCTCCGCCCTGCTACTCCTACCGTTATCACAGATTAAAGAGTACTTCAGTTAATTGGTATAGGTAATGCCCTGGGAAACTCCTTTACTTAAAACTATAGTCTCAAACTCACTACAGAATTTTTATCCAGTGCAAACATTTTGAAGTGGATTTAGAGGAACAAGAAAAAACAAGTTGTGATGCTACAGGTCTAATACAAAAATGTAAGTTCTTTGGTTAAGATGTCCACCCAGCCGGAAACATGGATTGGTAAATTCCTATCAAACTGCCTTTACCACGAAGAACGAATTACTTCGACACCCAGCTGAGTCTCTGCTTTACAAATTAATAGACCAAGACCAAATTAACAGACTAAAATCATGCTCTTGTTTTTAGTCAAACAAATAGAAAAGAAGTTGCCGTTACTTACCACTGTATCCTAGGAATGTCACATAGATGTAATAGCCGATTGCAATCAGCCATAACGTATTCCCAACAAAATACCCAATGACAGAATCAGATATGATGACATCTGAAAGAGACAGCTGCTCTCAGCTGTTTTGATAGAGCATGATTTTGAAGCAGAGAGCACAAAATATTCTACTTACAGTTGATGAAAAACAGCTGGATAAAATGCAAAATGACTAGAAGTGGATAGAAAGCATTCAGATGAACATCAAAGGCATACCCCCACTCCACATCATAGTCTCTGTTCTGCTGCTTCACCAAGTATTTATTAGAAATGAACCTACATGAAAAGATATTTGAGAGCGTTGTTAATGTCAATCTATAAAGCTGACTGACAACACGTTGGTTTGAAATAGCGAGCCGTATGTGATCCTAACTGTACCCCAGCAAAGTTGCTGCTATCTGGGAGAAAAATATGCAAGAATTATGCAGACCGTTTTTGTTAAAACTATAATTACATTCCTCGCATTCAACGGGCAGCTGAAATACACTGCAGGTAATACAGCACCAGAACTGTTTTTTTAAATGGATCAGTGCTACAATTTATCAGTGCAGTTACAAGTTCTCAGGCAGTGTGCCACCCTTGCACACGCAGAGGCGGCTTCAGAAAAGTGCATATAGGTTATCACTTCACAGGTGCACTGCCTCACACAGAGAGGGTTTATTTTGTCTCCACAGAAATGGCACACTTCAAGGACAGGAAGAGGGCAGGCTAGCACTCTTAAGATGAGCCCATTCTTATTGAAAAGAAGCACTAACAGAGCGCGCACTGCCTGGTGTTACAGACTACGGAACAAGCCTCAAGACTTTGTTTTCTCCAGCTGAAGTTCTGCTGACATCAGAAAATATATCCCGTTTAGAAGAGGAACAAGTAGTCAATACGTGCTCAGAAATAAGAAGTTAAGAGACCAGAGCTTTCATGGTAGCTTTCTCCGACATACTCCTCGTGCTAAAGGCAGGGTCAGAAAGGCAGAGCCTGGGTGCAAGGTGAAGCGAGGCAACACGGCGTTTGGGCACATTAGGAATGGGGGAAGCTTTTGGAAAAAAGGCGAGCCTGCACTGGAAGAAGGGACTTGAACCAAACTGGAGCCAGGTGACTGGTATTGAGGCCTGTAGGAAGCTGACTAGAGGAAAACCAGCAGATGCTGGAAGTCTTTCTGGTTCAGGAGATTGCATCCCAAGTCACAAATTGCTGGAGGATGGGGGAAGAAGCATTACTATATGCTCTTCCCCAAGCATTGTATGGGTTGCTGTCCCAGACAGGAGAGTAGGTCAGATGGATCTTTCATCTATCAGCTACAGTTCTTGTATGTAGCTCATCCTGAATTTTGCAATTACAAGTGGGAGTTCCCGAGGTCACTGTTTGAAAGGAATCTATCCCTTTTCTGATTGGTATCAATTTTAAGATGTCAGCTCCATTACTAAGAACTCTTTTAAGTGCCCTTGCCTCCTTGTGAGTTTTCATTTTCCACCACTACCATGACAAAGTTCTTGGTAAAATAAAAATTCTTCCTTTGGTGCCCTCCCCTTGCCTCAGTGCAGAAACAGCGACTTCCTGTTGGTTCATGGCTCCCTTGCTGGTACAGGACACATCTATAATGTGCTGAGGCCTGGGTTATAAACTGACTTGCTACTGCCTCTCCCCTTCTCCAAGTCTCTGGCCATTACAGGATAAAACTGGCAGCAACTACTGCCAAAGCAACAAAGCCAACGTGCATGACATAGAACAGACATTGCTTGTAGTGGAAATAGCTGAAGTCTTCAGCAAGAAGCATGGGCCAATTGTATATTGCCCTACTTAAACATAATCATCCTCAGGCTTACTTTAGTTAAGCCATTCAACCACAATAAGAATTGTTTTTTATCACCAAATTTTTGATGTGGCATTATTGCTGAAGACCAACCAGCTCAAGAAGAAAGAAAACAAGCTGAAATGTTCATCATAATACAGACTTTCTGAACATTCATCTTCTGCAGGAAACAGTAAAGAAAAGGATGCGTTCTTTTTAAAGCAACATTTTGAAACAATTACCACAACAGCACAAAACCTATAGTCAATACATACTTTATAATTTTGCCCCAAACAGAGAACCAAGTGTCTTGCAAACAACAGAGGACTATCGGTGTCCCAACAGCAATACTGAGTTCAGTTTCAGACATCACTACTTACCACATTAGAGTTGCAATCAGGAGGCCAACGCCTATGCAGTCTATGAAGACAACCCAAAGTAGCAGCTTTATCATTTCAAAAAAACCCATGTCCAGCACAAATCCAAATCCTACAGTAGACACTGAAAGGAGAAAAAGATTATTAAAGTTAGCTATGGAAAAGAAAGCATGAGATCTTAAACTGATATGGTTTTTTGAGTATACCATTATGAAATCTCCAGTTTCCTTATTATTTTTCTCCCTGAGATTTTCAGTCTAACAGCTCATTTTTTCCAACAAATACTAGGTATAATAGAATTTATTCATAATATAATCCCCTTCACAGATTGGAGAACACTCAGCTGTACTTGGGTTTAACAATGTAACAGCAGATTGCATTGCTCCCCCCCAACTATTTTTTAAAAAGTCACACAATGCTACAATAGAATATTTGTTTTATAAACACTCCTCGTTAACCCAAACCGTGCATGTGGTGATACATACTTTTATTTCAGAGTTAACAGTTTTGATATTACTAACAGCAATACGCTATATAACAGAAGATGACTAGGATGATACTGCATTTGCAATTCAGTCTGAAAATTACATGAGACATTTTGTTTACAGCTTAATTCTGCAATATACAGAATTTCACTAGGGCCTTTATTGTAAAAACAGTATTTTATGTGTAATGCTCAGATAAACCAAATGTTCAGTATTTTTTAACTAAAGCATTACTGTGTGGCATGGGGTTTTATTACTGTCTATAAAGTTACAGGGAAGTACATAGTTTGAAACAGAACAGAAAATGAGTTGCAATAGAGAGATTAATTCAAGACTACATAGTATTAGTTATGCCTCCTCTGTTTTCCAATTCCCAACTTAACTTCCAAAAGGTTAGGCCATTTTCTTCTATTCTGCTTTGATTAAAAGATAATCCATATGGATTGGTCCCTTTTGTGTGTGTGTGTGTGTGTGTGTTATTAGAAGGGCCACAAATGTTCATCCCTAAACCTTCCCTCCCTCTCTTTTATGCTGCATATTCCCCTGCACTCACCACAGAGCCAGATACTGAGAATTACTAAGAAAGCAGGATCATCTCTTGCCCATTGGTCCTTTGTCTGTTTTCTATAGTGAAAGTTCCTATACACCCTCTGTGGTGAAGTAAACAGGTAAAGCATCTGCCAAAGAGCAAACTCAAAGTCCATCTGTCGGAAGTGGAAGAGCCTCCGGAGGTACTTGTAGCGTTTTGCTCCAGCTGTATGCCTCGCAGCATCTCTGGGGCTCAGCGCACCGTTGCCCTGGCTCCGAGAATTAACTGAAGTGGTTGGCAGCATTTTGCTAAAGAAGGAATTTCAAAAGATGCATTTGGTTTTGCACGTAACGGGGAATAAAAATAAAATCACGTGACGCAGGCCATATCTATAATACTGAAGTTACAAAAACTATGCACAAGTATAATCTATGACATTTACAGGCGAGTCTGATACAGCCCGGCAGTCACTTGCCTCACTGCTGGGGAGGCAGCAAGTGGAAAACTAGGAGCAGGCAACTCTGCTTCCAGTCAGGTACCCCCACGCCTGCGGCCCCCGGCTCCTCAGCCCCGCCGGGCTGCGCGGCGGCGCCCGGGAAGCAGGCTCTCTCCCGGCACTACTCCTTCTTGTAATCGCAAAAACGATTCAAGGCGTTAATGGCCGACGGGCTTCGCGGGAGGCGAAAGGCCGGAGCGCACAGCCAGGGGCAGGGGAGGGCTTACTGGCCTCCCCGCTCGCTGTTCAGCCCACGCCAGCCCGGCACCGCCCGAAGCGACCCCC